TAGCCATCGGTTTGTGCGCCACTTTTATTTGGTGTTTCCGCAAGTGTCCTTCGACTCGCCATGTATTTGTGTTGGGCGCTTGAGTGGAACTATCTGGCTCCTCTTTGTTGCGTTGTTGTTGTTTCATGCATCGGCATATAAAGATTTTGGGGTAATTATTTCGGGAAAACAAATCAAACAAGTAATTAGGCTCCATTCCGTAGATTTGTTCTTCGTGTCTCACTTTGTATAACTTAATTTTTTCGGCGGTTTTGAAATTTTAGTTGTTCCTTGCACTTTTCTTGTTAGTCTTGTTAGTTCGAAGACGATCTGGGGCCCCAACCTCAAAAATTCACTCATTAAAGTTATTTTATCCCAAAGGAGCGTCTTCTTCAAAGATGTGATTTGCTACCAGATGAATACAAAAAATAATATTTTCGTAGTGTTTCCCATTAAATCTATTCAAATCTATGATGGTATTTAAAATAAAAGTAAAAATACACACTACTTAAGTAGTCATCTTGTAAGCCATATACGTTCTGCAGGCGGTCAGAAAGTCGCTCTTGCAAAAGTCGGCATCCTGGCGTGACTGTTGTATTCTGGGAGTAGGCTGAACGATAACCAATATCACAACCCTACATAGGTGTATTTTCGAATAGAAAATCCATTTCAGAAGTGCAAATAAAAGCGAGCATTCGAGTCTCAGAAAAAATTTGAGAAGATGTGCTTGCTGGAATCACATTTCGAAATCTTGGTTTGTCTTTCACTAGATAGAACATATAATTTCTCTCCACCCAGGTAATACTCTTGGTTTAGTTTGATGTGTAAGATGTTTGCAATAAAAGCAGTTCAGTATTTTAAAACATACTCTCTGAAAGGTCTGGATGTAGGTTGGAGTGTTCAATAAGCCTTAGCACTAACCTTTCCAAATGCTTTATATTGAATATTGTGCATTAATTTTCCTGTGAATAAGGTGGTTTCAGCAAAGACCAGGGAGATCGGGGTAGTCACTTCTGGTTCAATGGCCATAGTTGGCCAGTTTTGATCGATCCTTGGTTTGGAGGAATCTGCGGTTTGGACCCGGCTTCCTTTTATTATTGAGCATTAGTAAGTCTAGTGCTCTGCTCATTGAGTCACGAGCCCGCTGCCCTATTATCTGTCCTTTTGCGCTCACTGTGACTCGAGTTAACTCAACTCCCCCCTGAAGAGCCCTAACCCGGGTTTTACTGCCTCACTAGCATCTCTTTCTACGGAGGACAGGAATTTGGTGTGGACAGTAGCGTTTAGATTCCAAACGCCAAAACCACTTCAGTCCGAACCTGTCATCGGAAAATTAAATGGGCACGGGAAGAAGTACCTGTATTGCGGGGAGTTCCGATTCCCATGATTTGCTGGATTTTCTTTCAGATAATAACTATAATAGTAATAACGTTGCCATGACATTCCACAGTTTTCTTTTCGGAAATGATTCTTTTTGACGATTTTCGATGGACTTAGGCATAAGTTCATTTCTGATTATGTAAATAACTCCAACTTTGTTTCAATTCATTTATCTTTATAACGCTGTTCTCCTTCCAAACCAAGTAATTAGTCCATGTACCTGACTGAAGACGACTGCAAAAGTAGGCTGACTTTAAGGCGAATTCCATAACTGCAGGGTGCCGCCTTTGGTTAATGAAGACCTTAATTAGACGTCTCTACGTCTCGAAATTTAACTACCGTAGAGAACTCTGGCGACTTTTGTTCGCCATCAGACTATTGATCGTTTCTGCATCCGGATTCTTAATTTGCACTGTACGCACAATGGCTGTGAAACGTCAGTGACTAACCTCGCTACCCTCGCTGACCTTTCGAACTTCGCTATTGGCGAGCACTTGGTAAAGCTTTACTCAACTTATTTGCCTTCTTCGTTGACTCCGTGCTTCTACTACGACTGTATCCGCCCAATGCTTCGCTAGTGTTTTGTGCTTGTTCTCTTTTTTCAGTTACATGTTTCATGGAGGCAGCAATTTCGGTTTCTGGAACGGTGGCCCCAGTGCCTCTAACGCGGCCATTATCACAAGCTACGACTACGACGCGCCTATTTCTGAAGCAGGTGACCTGACGCCGAAATACATGAAGATTCGGGAACTACTTTTTAAGGTTTTTCTTGCTGTCTATCTACCTTGTATTTTTTGTCGCTTTCTATGCCCGATACGTGGTCAAAGGATTGTCTCTGTAATACGTTGTTTCAATTGTCCTCAAGCTATTGGTTTTTGTTAAGCACTAATTAGGGCATTAACTGTTTTTTAAATATTTTCTATTCAGTTGCGGAAAGAAACACCGCCCCCGCTTCCGACAAATATAACGAAAAAGGCCTATGGAACGGTTTCGGTCAAACCGGTAAGTTCATGTTTTTTTATTCCTGCTGTTTTTTACGGTTGGCTTTGCCCATTAAAGTGTATTCATGCCTCTACTGGGTGGCCACGTTTGACAGGGGTATGGGAATAGTGCTATTTTGTTTTTGTGTTAAGGCAATGCGACAGTAATTGGTGATTTGGCAGTTATGAAGGAGGAGAATGCCGATCAACTTCCATTTCCTGGCAGCGAGACGTAATACCAACAATGACCCACTTATGATTGGACTATCATCGTCAGGTAATTGAACAGAAATCGCAGGCGAGGAAGCCCTAAGACTGCTAAAAATCGTAGCCTCGAAAAAAAAACAGTCCTCCTGTTCAGCAACGATTCCTTGTGAGTAACACCACAGTAACCGAAAACTCCAGATGTTTGTCTTTAGCGCCCGGTGGTAATAGAGGTTCTATGGATGAGGCATATCAGAAAAATAAAAAGTAGTTAAGAAAGGCAGAGCGAATTAAAGTAGAAAACAATTTAAATATGAATTTGAAAATAGGCATCCCGAGAAACATAATTTGATAGATGAAATTC